GACATACCTTAACCTTAGCGTATATTGGAATGCAGCCTGGCTTGCACCAACACCAAGCTTTAGGAAAGGAGAAAAGAGATGAGATGGTGAAATTGGTCCAGGCCTAAAGGGTATGCACTATGCAATATGCTTGCTATTGACGAGCGTTTTCAGTCCCCCACGCTGTTCAACAAAAACACTCAGAGTAGGATGGATAGATGGTGGTTTGCCTCCATTCTAACTTGACCCTCTAATGTTGCAATAGGGCTCAAGCCAAAGCGATCCGATCCGACCGGTAAATTATTAATTATAATTTTGTGTGTGATTGTTATTTCTTTTTTTTTTTGTTATTAATTATAGAATCTTTCGATTGCATCTTTTATCAGACGTCTTGAAAACCCAAGAGCCATTCAAAGATTATTTTTGGCTAATACATTATGTAGATATTCCAAATTCTATCTCAAATAGCCAAAACACTTGGCAGCAATGGCTATTGAGGACTAAATGTCCCATTGGATATGAAAAAAGGTAATAAAAATAATAGATTTCTCATTACTGAAAGTAAGTAAAAAGGGGTAAAAAAAATCAAGTTTTTCTCCTTAGGCTCAGTTTGGAAAGAATACAAATGCAAATATCTACGGTGCAAATACATATAAAATAATACAAAATATAAGGTTTTACACTACATTTTTTCATTTGTACTTCCAAACTGAGCCTTGGGGGAAAAATATTTGGCTCACTTACATCCTACCAAAGGTATTTTACACGTTAAATATAGGATTTAGTGGTTTAGAGTTTAAATTTCAGACTTTAGGGTTAAAATATGAAAATCAAGAGGTGTCGGATGCCATAGTAGGAGCCAAGTATTACCCTCTTTATAGGGGTTGATGGAGTTTGAATTTATGTATGTGGAGGTATCACGGCGCAACAAGTCAGGATGATAAAACCCAAACCGACTCGATTGTAGTATTGGAATCCTAATTCGACCCTACACCAAAATAAACATGCTCGAACTCAAATCAGATTTACCATCTAACTCCAACCACTAACACCCCTAATCATTTATCTCTTTGTTATGATTGTTATGAACTTATGACAACTGAAATTTGTTATGAACTTTTGACAACTGAAATTTGCTAAAAGTTAGATAGATACTACTTTAGTATGCTCTACCATAAAAAAAGAAAAAAGAAAAAAAACTTAGTAGCAGTAAAGTTTTAATCTCAATTGGGGTCGTCGACAGGTTCAACACCCGATCCAATCAAACTGGATTTGGATCCCGAAGTATTAGATCGGTTTACACTCGGATCGGATTGTATCCACTCAAATATCCAATCAAGATTCGAGATTGGTAATATAGGATATATCTATATATTTATAAAATTAAGATATATCTATTAAAAAAGTTTGGTTGAATAGCATATTTTCATTGAAGGCTCAATGGTTCAAGTCTCATGAACATTATTTTTATTTCCATAAAAGACAAAATGCATCCATTCATGTTCAGATTACAAAACAAAATCAAATATCAGTAACCACAAGTACCAGATATGAAGAAACAACCCGGAAATCCAGGAGTGGGCCACTTGTGAAGCTTTTGCAAACAGTGTTATAAGTCCAATCACACCAACATGGAGGATCATGTTCTCCACCAGAGGTGCAACCCAAAAGGCAAAACAAACTTTTGTTAAAACAACCGCCAAAACCAAACCAATATGGATTTTCAGGGTCATTTACTAAAACATCCCCTATAGTTTTATGTTTTATTAAAACGTGTCCTATATATTGCAATCAATTTACTTAATCAATATTCCATCAGATGAAAGTGGAAAATGACAGTTTTAACACCAACATCTATTCAAATTAATTTAATCAAAAGAAACTAAAAACAAAAATGCCATTTTTTGCCCCTAATAAAACATGGACAACCACTCTATTTTCTCTATTTGGTCATCAATTTTGTTTTCTGTACAAAAAAAGTGTTAGAGGTATTTTTGCAATAAACAACCATGGATCCATACCCTTGAATGTTTTCCACTCAATTTAGGGGTTCTTTTGGAATATACAACCATGGGTCCATGCCGTTTAACATTTTTCACTTAATTTAGGCAATCGTGTTACTATTTTCATATCACAAATACAAATAGCTCTTAATGAAAGGTCGATTAAATAAATAGATTGCAAACAATAAAGGATATTTTAGTAAAATGCAAACTCTTGAATAGGTTTAAGTAAATCTGTGAAACTATAAGGGGTGTTTTAGTAAATAACCTTTTTTATATATTGTTAAGGGAACCCCAACATGTGGCAATACAAACATTAAGGTGGTGTTTGAGACTTGTCGTTTTTTCAGAAAACGGTACCACGTCAGAGCTGTATCTGATTTTAAGAAAACAAAAAACGCATGAGCATATGCTGTTTGATTAGCCATTTTCTTAAAAAACAGTAGAAAATGTGTTGTTTTTTCAAAACAAATGCCCATCTTAAAAAACGCTATTTTTTGTGTTTTTTTTTTTCTTCTGTTTCTTTTGACAGAGTTTTTTGGCATGGTGGCTGACATGGCTCTCACATGAAGTGATTTTCTCAGAAAGCAGCAATGGATCCAAACAGCACCATGAAAAAATGTTTTCTCAAAAAAGCACAAAAAAACATAAATCCCCAAACCTCCAAGGCTTAGTTTGGAAATAGTGCAATGTGCAAATGCTAATATTCACCGAACATATTTGTATTTGCACTCTTCCCAAACGGAGACTAAAAGGTCAGGGCTGGGACGAAAATAAGAAGTATATGGATCCGATGCGAATCCGACAGTCTTGAATTCTGGGGATCGTATTCGTATCCATTATTCAGAAATTTTTTGCTTTGATTTTGCGGTCTGCGATTCTGGATCAAAGGATAATTCGAATAGATTGACGAAGCATAGAATCTGGTTGAGGATGAGGCATGCCCGCTCAATTTCATGCATCCGGATCTGTTACAAACCTACCATAAGAGATGTTTAAGACAGGCTATTACATAATTAGTTCAAATTTTCATTTTAACCTCCTTTCACAGAGATAAGAAGGTCAATAAGTAAAACAACTTCGGGGAATTGATCTTGCTTGAAACTCGCTCAATTTTTTCTGCATCCCTAAGTCCTCTGTCCGCTAAGAAACCATGTATTCAGATTTTCGTCCAAAATGCACCACCGAAACCGAATGTTGCATTTCCCGCTTAAGCAGTCAGTCACCCACTTTAGAATCACCTTGGACCCATACATCCATAATGTCCAAATCTCTCACTAGCATTACCGCTTCTGCTGCTCTGCTAGCTCTATCGTGGTGATTTGGCCAATATAGTTAGTGGGCAATGCATCCATTGTTTGCATCGTCCCTTTCTCTTTCCTTAAGGCTGTGGTTGGTTTGATAGAAAATAAGAGAAACAGAACTGAGGGAAACTTCTTGAGATATTTTCTTTGAAACCGAAGACAACCCAGAGTAAGAGAGACAGACATCAAGGTTTATTCAGTCAGCGAGTGGTTTGGTGCTTTCCACCTTACTAGTCTCATTTTTTGTGCCCCAGTTGTCTAATGCAAGGTTTATCTCAAACACTTCCAGATATTCTATCAACATGCTTTATGTAGCTTGGCTTCAACCTTTGCCTTTCCAAACATGATGGAACTTCTAAATGTCAGGGGTTTTGGAAGTTTTCCCTTCTTTTGCATTTTTAAAAACATATCTTCTGAATAATAGCCATCCATTAAAAGAAGATGAAATCATGAAACTAAAGTGTGGGGTACACAAGTCCAGGAAGGGAAATGAAATACAAAACTACTAATATGAATGGAAAAAAAAAAAAAAATCCTCCGAGAAAAATCCTCATCAAATGCTCAACACAAACCAGTCTGAGTTGCACCCATTAACAAGATATCAAGACAGGACTAATTGCCCCATGCGGCTTTTTGATTAAAGCAAGGGATTCTAGCCGATATTGGCAACTTTTGGGCCCTAATATCAATAAAAATAATCTTTTAACATAATTATTAAAATAAGCTAACTTTTTTTAATAAATATCAAATAAGGGCAGAAACACTGTTCATCTCCTTCCTCCTTCAAACCACTGAACAAATCTCCCCCAAGATTAATAAATATTGATCACAGATCTCTACTTTTCTGTTCATCCTTGTAGTTGCTGGCCTGCTGCAAGCAAAAATGGTGAAGCCCAATCTTGCGTTTTTGCATTTCGTTATGTGTATCTTGCTTCTCCACTTAGCATACTCATAGACCTCTTCCAATCCCAATTTTCAGGTATTAATGGCATTCAAAACTGCTTCAGATACCTCTAACAGGCTTAATAGCTGGAACCAAACCGCCGATTCATGCACCTGGTACGGTGTTTCATGTATGGTTCTAACTGCTTCAGAAGAATAACTCGTAGCAGTTCTGCTCTGAGTTTGGTGGTTTGGAGGAAGAAGGAGATGAACAGTGTTTCTGCCCCTATTTGATATTTTAAAGAAAAAGTTAGCCTATTCTAGAAATTATGTTAAAAAGATTATTGTTATTGATATTAGGGCCCAAAAGTTGCCCTTATCAGCTAGAATCCCTTAAAGTAATTAGATTAATCGTACATTATGGAAATATTAGAATTCCTAGAATTATATGGTAAAGGATTACTAAATTATTAGTCTCCACCATTGATGTTAAATTGGCCTTAGCGGATGAATTCTTGTTTGTAAGCATTCCCCTGGTAAGATTTAAGTCTTTGCCTGTCCCATGTGTGGAAAGGAGAGAATGACTCCGAAACAGAGTCTATGATGTTTAACAGGTGTTTAGATTGTTAACTTAAAAGGCAATAACAAAAACATCTGGATCTATTCTTAGTCTTATGGTAAACAATCTGAAACTATGTCTACGTTCAATTAGGTAAGATTTATAGGGATGACTTGATAAGCGATAACTAAAATATTTGTAATTACTGTCTTATTATAAACAATTTGACATGACAGGCTTCATCTTCTTTAGTTGAGTTTACAAATAAAAAAATTAAAACAAAAACAAAAAAATAGAAGCTGTATTATGGAAAGTGGAAACATTAAAACAACTGTAGTTCATAAGTTCTAATTCAGGAATGTTGTAATATTATAATATTATGGATGCAAGACATGCTGCAACAATAAACAAGCAATAGAAATGACCAGACCAATGCAACGATCTAGTATACATGTAACTGCAATTATAGGTTAAACATCACTTTAATGGCATTACCTCCACGGGCACTGGTTTCAAAGGCCTCCTCTACTTCCTTCTGGGAGAAACCAAACCTGTGGGTTATAAGGGGCTTCACGTCAATTTTTCCACTCCTCAGAAACTCAAGGCAAAGAGGCCAAGTATTCTTATAACGGAAGACGCCAATGATGTCAACCTCTCTGACACAAAGTAAGATCAAAATTGAGTACTGAATCATCAAAACGTGAACAACAAAGAGAAACGTTGTGAAACAATTAATCTGGAACAACTTTTAAGCCAACAGGTTCCAGCTTCTTGACTCAAAGTTCAACTCTGAGATTTGGGTATGCTCTAACAGAACAGAGAACCATTAGAATGCAGTGCAGATCTTTTTGAACTTCACAGCAGTGTATAGATCACTGCTACAAACAAATTCTAGTCCTAGAGTTCCCAATACATAAATGCATTTCATTTGAAATTTGACAAATAAGAGAAGACTGAGAAAGGAGGTATACAAGAAAATAGAATGAAATAATATGCAATACCTTGCTGCAGCTGGGGTAAGAGGAACGGTCATCTCATTATGACCCATTCCAACAAGGCAAACCTTACCGCCAGCACGAGTAGCATCTAAAGCTGTTGACATGGTTTTGTTAAAGCCTGCGCAGTCGAAGGTCACATCAATTCCAGTTCCCATAACCTTGTTTATTTGAGATACTTCTTCACTGACATCCTGTAGAACAGCTAATTGGTAAGAACTTGGAAATTGGTGGTACAACAACATCATCAATTCCAGTCAATTAAGACAATGCTAGATGGTTCCAAAATACACTAGATTATTGGATGTTTAATTTGTACATTGGGAGGTTTGGTATAATGTGACTTCAATTAACAGGCCACACTTCTCTAAAAGGTAATTCCATTAGTGGATACCCAACTTTTCATCCCGTTCTCAAATCCAATGGTGGATCTGGAAATGATATTAAGGGAATCCCTATCTCTACACAGCCTCAACAAAAACTAAAAATAGGATCATATTGTTAAAATTCAGGTGAGGTACAAGTGGACAGATGATAAAGACCTTAATATTTGTTGAAACCTTGACAGTTTCATCGGCACCAAGATCCTTTGCAACAGATAAACGATGATCGTCCACATCCACAATAACAATTCTGGGGGCTCCAAAAGCTCGAGCTGCTAACATTGTAACCAAGCCTATTGGACCTGCTCCCATGATCAATACATTTGTCTCAGGACCAATGCCAGCACGACGACAAGCATGGACACCAACACTAAGAGGCTCACACATAGCCCCTTCCTCCAAGCTTACACTGTCAGGCAGCTTGAAACATAGATCTGCAGGATGGACCACCTGGTACAAGAAAACAAGGTGTCTATAACACTGCCTATAGTGGTTACATTCAAGGAAAACAATACTATGTTGTATCACCAGAAAGGCAACTCAGACTTAACACTGCAGGCCGGAAATATCAATACTCAGCACTTCCTCAACACAAATGCGAGGACTCAGCCTCATATTCATATCATAATACTAAACTATAGTCATATTAAGTAAAAAAATTCAGTCTATGAAATATAGCAAAAGAAGTAAAGTTTCAGATACTGATGGAATATTTTACAGTACAGACCTTACAAATTGCACAGAAGAATTGTAAATTTGTAATTATGAGTGTGAGTGTGAAAGGATTTGATTTATATGGGAATTGGTTTGAGATTCTGCAAATGTAAAGAACCTGATTGGCGAGAGAGCCGTGGACTGGAGGAGTTGCAAAAAATTTCATATCAGGACACAGATTGTAGCGGCCACCTTTGCAGAAATCACAACGCCAGCAACTGATCCCGGGCTCTAGAGCTACACGGTCACCCACAACTAAAGACTTGACTTCGCTCCCAACTTCTTCTATGATCCCGGCACACTCGTGCCCAATCACCATAGGTTCTTTGACGATAAAATGTGCACATCTCATGGTCTGTAAAAGCACAATGAAACCGATCAGCAATTAAAAAAGAACAGGCACCATAAAGTATTTATTGGTAGATGAAAATTTTCTGTAAAATCCATGGATATTGACTACTCAATATGTCAATCGGGACTTGGGAAGATTCAGAAATACATAATAGTTGAAATAAAATGATTCAAGAATTAGAGCAGAGAGGGTAAGGGATTGCAGTTTGACCTTGAGGTAGTGAACATCACTTCCGCAGATTCCCACAGCTTTCATGCGAACCCTAACATCATTTGGACCTGATATTTCCAATTCAATTCCGAGGAAAGTTATCACGAGAAAACATTGAGAAAAAAAAGTAATTCAAAGAAGTCTAAGAGGTAAAGTTCGATAAACACGTAAACAAAGAAATTTCAAAGATGATAAATCATCAAGCATATAGCTCACTGACAAGCAGAGTAGGCCAGTAGCATATAAATTGAAGAAAACAGAGAACACCCTAACTCCTCTCTCTCTCTCTCTCTCTCTCTCTCTCTCTCTCTTTATCTCTATGAAGAAAATCAAATTAATATCTTTCTTTAGAAAAAGTCCAGAAAGCAGAACCAACCAAGTGGGGGAAGTTCGAAGGGTTGAATCTTGAGATTATTGACACCAAGAAGCCAAGCGGCCATATTTTCTCCGCCCTCTCCACCACCATGAGACATCCCCCCTTTCCCCATCTCTCTCTCTCTCTCTCTCTCTGGGATGCAGCACAGAGAAGAGTGATGATGAATAAAATTAGAGGAGTTAATTGAGGTTTCAGATTTCTGCCATGGAAGGGCGTAAATCATCGAAGATAACAAATTGACAATGGATAATGGTTACGGTTCCTATGAATTATGACAATAATGCACAGCTGACAGGTTGAGTAACCTATGGCGAGTGAACACGTCAGAGTTCGATACACATGGGACCGAATCCGCTGCTGCAGAAAATTTTGTCTGCAACTTTTTCAATCACCACACCCAGAAGAGAACCCGCCATACATACACGTAGTTCCCGTTCAATACAAATTCGCGGTTATCACGAAATGCAGTACAAACCACGGTTCAAAAACTTCTGTTTTCATTGGCCAAGGCTCTTCGCCTCTTCCCCTATCTTATTATTTTTTTTACAGCTCGCAGATTTACCCTTACAACAAATCTAAGACAAACACACACTCTCTTCTATGCATAATAATATTGAGACCAGGTATAATAAAGTTAAGCACAGAATTAAGGCAAATTGCTGAAATTTGATAATTGTAATTGCAAGTAGACCCTTTTGTTAGAATTCTTTAGCAAGCGGCATGAAAATGTCCAATCCATATCATTACTTTTGACCAAAATGTTAATTTTTCATATTCTGTATCAATTGCTATATCAAACCCTTTTAATCATTTTTTCAAAATTGATTTATTTCCCAAATTTTTACTTCTCTGATTCATTATGTTCATATTGTGTTTTCTCTTTCGTAAAAACTAACATCAATAGTAACTATATAGGTATTTTAGGCATTTTAGTGCCTCTTATTAGATGATTATAATAAGAGGGGTCTAATTGCAACTGTGTCAAAACATTTAAGAAGGTACTTACAATTACCAAACTTCAGGGGTAGTTTCAGCAACAATCAAAAACTTTAAAAAGGTTTCAGCAAATTACCCAAAAATTATAATTAATCAACCTTTACCATAAAAGCGATAACCAACCAGGTCATCATCATCATCATCAAAATTCAGGGATTTTGATTGGTCAAAGTTCTTGTATTTAGTATCATTGTTGTATTATTTCTGCTACCGAAGCAAATGCAAAAGAACTTTATACAATAACACAAATTTCTATTTAGTAAGACATTTTTCACAAAAACTCAATTTTTTTGAATCATAATAAGAAACATCATATGAAGAACTTTTCACAAAAACTCAACTTTTTTGAATTCCAATGCAATGCATCTTTTTGGATAAACGGCTTATCAAATAGAAGATTAAATTGTTTTATCATAAATTCATAATCCCCCTATACCAATATGTTTTCTAGATATCATGCCCTTATAATAGTCAGATTTCTAAAATTTATCACAACAGTAAAAAAATTTACCATCAACGTGTTGGGAGAGCTTTGTTGGTAGCAGATTTTAACTCTCTCGTTTGAATCATCTGTGTTTATACCTTTTCCATAAATTTTGAAAGTTAAAAAGAAATAATGAGAATTAAAAATTAAAAATATGTCCCCTTCCATTTAATTAAATTTACTGATTTTGGGAGATTTCCTATGGATAGTGATGTTGTTCGATCTGAGGTGTTTCTTGAACCAAGGTCGCAATCAGATAATCTTGCTAATTGGATGGAGCTGAGGTGGAAGGACGAAGTCACGCTCCAAGAACTGAAACCAAGAACAAGGTCAGAGGCCCGAGGAGTTATTCCCCGAGTAGGTACTTCAACGCTTAAGTTAGTCAAGAACAAGATGTCGGTCGATCCGAGCAGTTGAGAGAGCAGTGCTGGTCCGAGTAGTAGTAACGGTATGGAAGTCAAAAGTTTGATCCCTTACATTAAGCAGGAAATACCTTTTTATAGCCGAAAATCCATGTCCTGGTCAATGAGGCTTCCGAGATTGTGGACGGTTCATTTTATTGTTAATGTTTGGATGGTTGGTAAAGAGAATTAGATGGCATTCTTAGGGCATTTTTAACTTTTCAAATGTCACTTAACGGTTGATTAACGACTGATTAACGGTAGGTACTGGGTTGTCACATTTTGAAAGTTTGGGTACTGGATTGTCACATTTTAAAGTTTGGGGACCAAATTGTCACTCAAGCCAAAGTATAGGGTACTGATCAGGAATTTTTCCTAATTTTTAATAAAAGACCTCAAAACCTAAAAAAATAATGAAAGATTTTACTATTACTTGAAAAAAGAGAAGAATAATAAAGAAAAATATATTATATATATTTTTATTATATAATACATTATCAAGTCGGGCTTAGGCTCGGGCTAGGCTTTTTAAGCCTGAGTTCGGCCTAAAAAAAGTCGGACCCAATGTTTAGGCTTGAGACCGAGCCCACAATCCTGAAAATCCTGTCCAAGCCCGACCTACAATGAATCAGACCGGGCCGACTTGTCAGGCTATCCAGCCCATGAACAGGTCTACCCACCACCGAATACTCAGACTCAAAGAAGAGTAGGGTCAAAGGTACTCAAGAACCCACAATACTTACCATCACCACTAATACCAGTTCTGATCAACGTCCCTGCCACACCTTTTCTTTTTCTGTTTTATTCTTCATCTCCTTATTAAATTGAATAGAATACCTCCATCACAACTGTAATTTGTAGTGGCGTCTCAACCTCTTAATCTGTTCTCTTATTTTCCTGCTGCATCCGTCCTCTTCTTTTTCACCCTAGTTCCTGTTGTTAACATCCCTATAGAAACTTGCTTCCTAATACTCACATGGGCGCTGATTCATTTATTCTATTTTCTCCATCAGTGTGAGGCCTTCCATTGTCTACGACAAGTAGCTAGCATTGCCACCATTGCTCACAAAAAATAAGAGGTTATTGTCAAAGTAAAAAACCTAAGGAACACCTTACGTTTTCACTCATTTTAAAAGGTCACATGATCATTCCCATACATAATTCAGATCTCCTATCCACATGACATGGGGAACATCTCCCCATGCATAAATGGTAACATGCAAATACAGGAGATATTTTCAATGTACAACTATATAGGGTTGTCAACAGTCTAGGTCTGGTTTGGGATAGGGTAGAACCATTCCAAACCGATTGCTAAAACCGATAGTATCAGAACAAAACCAGACCTAATAAGTTCTATTATTTCACAACCGGTACCGAATTAAAATATATCAAGTCATCTTGAAATCTGTCTGCCTCCTTATTCAAGAATTGAAATATCCAACAATTAAGCTAAACCCACTTACTAGCCATCCATTTATTTGGTACTCCCAGTCTCAGGTTCACATGGGTAGCATGTAAACTTGATAAGATTTTTTTTTTCTTCTACCCCATCTTCTCTTTTCATTGTCCATGGAGGAGCTTGGTGTGTAAGAGATAGTGGTGACTGAGAATCAATGAGACGCAGAGACAATGATGAGAAACGTATTCAGAGAAAGAGAAAGTAACGTGTACAACTATAGAAGCTAAATCCTCAAGCGGCAAAAGCAAACCAAAAGGGTAAAGGCCAAAAGGTTTTGAGTTCGAGGATTTTAGGTGTTATAAGTAAAATTACAATTTTAGGCATACCTATAACTCTAAAACATGTATATATAATCAGACCAGGTCTAATTAGCTTGGGACAGTCAAAACTGGTCCCGAACCAATATTAATCGAAACACATAAAATAAAACCAGAACTGACCAATCGGAATGAATCATAGAACCAAAACCGATAAATACAGTTTGGACGATTTGGGTCTATCAGGTAGGCCCAACCCATTAATAGCCCTACAACTATAGTGAGGCGTGGGTAGGAGATTCTGTCAGACAATATACAAATGGAAGATGAATTAAAGTAGTTACAAACTATTGGGGGTGTTTTATTATTTTGCAAACCAAAGAGTAGGTTTTAATAAGTACGTTTAGCAACACCTGAGATATCATTTTCACATGATGTGTTCTTATCTTTATAGGCTTTGGATAAGAAGGCTGATCGAATCAATACCCTTCAATTTGATCTCAATTAATCCACTATATATATATATATATATATATATATATATATACACAATCAATTTCAGGTTAAATCATGGAAGCTAGTTGATTCAATTTATTTTCTTAATTGTAATTTGCGAAGACGCTGCAACGGGAAGATGTGTAAATCAAGTATGAACACCAACATTTAGACTTGGCAATTGGGTTGGGTGGGTCGGGTTCGGTTTGGTCAAGACACTTTGGGTTGATTTCAGGTTGGGTTGTCCAATGCTAGACCCTAACCCTAAATGTTCGGGTTAGGGTTGATCGATGGATCAATTCGAGTCGTTTCAAAAAATAACTGAAACTTAAAAAAAATACATGAAAATTGCCAAAATTAAAGGAATTAACCTTAAAATTCTAAATATAAAATAAAAAAAAAAAAAACTTGAACATTTAACAATTCAAAGAGTAAACAATAAAGACTGAAGACTAAATAGAAAAAATTAAAGTGAAAAATGTAACAATGCATAAATAGTCCCAATTAGACCTGACAATTGGGTCAGCAGGTTGACCCATGACCCAACCCAACAGTTTTAATCATAATTCATAAAAAAAAAGAACTTCAGTAGAATTAGGGTTTCCCTGTTCAGGGTATATAAGTATGCATTATGTCTGTTGAAACCCCTTAATTATATTCCTTGAAGGAATTTGATTTTGATCTTATGTGAAAGAGCTACTTTGTAAGGTTAAACTCAATAACAGGTATAAGCAGTCCCGTCAGCTTGGACTCTTAGCGGGTTATACCCATGAGAGGGCCCCACAATTGGTAGATAGGTCATGGGACCCATACACCATTGGGTACCTATGTATTTAAATTTATACATCTTAGTAGTGAGTCATGTTAATCGATAAAAAGTGGGACCCACTATACTGATTTGGGGGTGGGCATGACCCACATTAAATATTTTGACAATGGGCCCCACTGACAGGTAGAACCCACTAGGTTGATTTGTTAGTGGTGGTGGCCCACTTTAAGATTTAAAACTTAAATATTTTGATAATGGCCCCGTTGATAGGTGGGATCCACTAGTTTAATTTGTTAGTGGGCATAGCCCACTTTAACAACAGTGGGACCAACTAATAAGTGGGACCCACTATACTGATCTGATAGTAGGGCCCACTACAACATTATCTCAT